ATCCGTCCATCCATCCCGACGGGATCACCCGACCTCCTCACATCAGGCTCTTCCCTGCGGGAGCCCCTGGCGAATACCGCTACCACTGACAGGCGTGCTCAGTAGCCACGACCTGGTCTCGGGGTACTTCAAGTCCATCCCCACCATCAGGGGCTCTGGTGAACACGTACCCTGGGGCTTAGATACCGTGCGCTGGGGACGCCTGGCCAGTGGAGTGCTAGTGGTACCGCCTGGTGGTCCCTTACACATATCCAGCTGTGCCCGATGCCCTTGTGACCCCAGCATACACACACACCATATGCCATTCAAAAAAAAAGGAAGGGGGACTGATTTGGAGTGAGAATGACATTTGCAGAGTATGATCCAAATTATGGTTGTCATTGTCCCTATCTGTGCACACAATTATCACACCTCCCCTCTCAAGTGGTTGCATGGGAGGGAACTGCAATTTCCCTCCTGACGCAACTGACTTCTGCCGGCTCGACCTGTCTCGATAACCCATCAGCATTGCCATAGGTGCTGCCCTTCTTATGCTGTATGGTGAAATCGTATTGCTGAAGAATTAGGCTCCACCAAAGTTTGCCATTCTCCCCAGCAACACGATTTAACCATCTTAGAGGATTGTGAACGGTGATCACTGTGAAGTGCGGCCCATAAAGGTACATTTGCAACTTCTGGAGAGCCCACACGATCGCAAGACACTCCTTTTCGATCATGGCGTATGCTACCTCTCTGGGAAGCAGCTTCCGGCTCAGGTAGAGGATGGGATGTTTCTCTCCTGCACCATCCACCTGGCTCAGGACTGCACCCAATCCATATGCAGATGCATCCGTCTGCACTAGGAAACAGTGGGTGAAGTCTGGAGCCTGTAGCACAGGGGGCGCTGGCCAGCGCCTCCTTCAAGGCCTGAAATGCCTTCTCACAATCGGGTGTCCAAGACACCACCTTGGGCAGTTTCTTCTTGATTAGGTCAGTCAAAGGTTTTGCCAGGCTACTATAGTTACATACAAACTTCCTATGTCATTACCGGCTGTCCCCAGGAATGACATGACCTGTTTCTTGGTTTGCGGGGTAGGCCAGGCCAGGATGGCCTCCAACTTCCCTGTCTCGGGCCTCAGGGTTCCTCCTCCTACCTGGTGTCCCAAATACTGGACATCCATCATGCCTATCTGACACGTACTGGGTTTGACGGTCAGATTGGCGGCTGTCAGTTTGTCCAGAACCTGTGACAGATGCACCAGATGTTCTTCCCAGGTGGGACTGAACACGGCAATGTCGTCCAGGTAGGCTACTGCAAAGGGTTTCAGACCCTCCAGCAAATCATTCATGACTCTCTAGAAGGTAGCTGGGACATTCTTCATCCCAAATGGCATGATAGTGAATTTGAACAAGCCGAATGGGGTGATGAAGGCAGACTTTTCCCGAATCTCAGGCGCCAGAGGAATTTGCCAGTACCCCCTGCTCAGATCCATGATTGTGATATAGCGGGCCAGGTCTGCTGCAGCTTTGGCAGATGTGGGTTCTCTCTCCAATACAAACTGTCTGACCTCTGCCGGACAGAGGTGCAGTAGTTGATCTCCTTTAATGAGATCCTCCAGGGACTCGTAGGAGTCAGCTTTCAGTCCTTTGGTTCACTGCCGGAATGTGGTGCGTAAGCGACTTACCACATTCATGTAAGAGTCCCAAGGTCCCATTTTCAAGGACCTAAACCACTTGCGGTACACTTCCGGGGTCAGTTGGTACTTTGATGGCTTCTTTTAGAGCTTCATAACTGTCGCCCTGCTCCTCTGGCAATTCGACAAACACATCCAGGGCCTTGCCTCATAGCCCTGGTGTCAGGTACCGAGCCCATTGTACTTGGGGCAGATGGTACTGACGGCAAGCTTTTTCAAATGACAGCAAATACATGTCAATGTCACCGTCTTTTTCCATCACTGGAAACTTGGCTGCTGTGCCCACGGCCGTAGAGGCGTCCCTGTGCTCTAGAGACCCGAGGTTCTGAGCCTGTTGCTGCTGCTGGAGCCTAGCCATCTCCAGATTGTGCCGACACTCAGCTTCCCTCTGGCGTTATGCAGCTTCTCTCTCAGCCGTTGCCTGGTGTTCCGCATCCTCTCTCTCAGCCTGGTGTTCCATGAACTGCAGGTGTGCCAGAGGATCTGGCTCCATGATGCGTTTCAGGGCTTCCTGCATCTGAGGAGAGTCTCTGCTGGTTGCAGGCACTCCGGTAACATTCGGTGATAATCCAGTGTCAGTCTCTGTATGCCCATCCTGCAAGGCCGTATCTAAGCCACTGGGATCGGAGGTAGCAGGAACCCCTTCATTTTCAAGCTCCCATGAGTTCTGGTCTGCCCGGATATCATGCTCCTGTAGGTCACGAATCAAATTTTCACGAATTTTCACGAACCGACGTCAATTCCTTGTGCCTCACATTCAGTAATTAAATCACTTTTGTTCATTTTCTTGTATTTTGCTACACCAGGCATAATTGCAAGCAAAAGTAGAATAGAAAGCAGAAAAAGGAAGGGGCTGTTGCTATATGTCTCTCTCTCTCTCTCTCTCTCTCTCTCTCTCTCTCTCTCTCTATATATATATATATATATAAAATATGCACCGCTTGTCTCTAAGGACTGTTTCTACAAAGGTTACAATCCTTCAGTGCAGAGCTAATTCCAAACAATGCACTGAATGCTCTACTGCAAACTATCCCACGTACGCTGCCAGTCAATATGCAACGGGCACGGCGTCAGACCCCAGTCCTTCTCACCAACTTGTGACCGAAGGACTAGCTAATCCAATTGTGTAACAATGCCACTCTCAGCTGCACCCTGCACAGAGATTTTCCAGCTCACTGGACCACAATCTATGTGCCGGCAGCCTGAGAGTGATTGTTACTGGGTCAGGTTAATTACGCAATTAATCCTTCACCCTTCACACTGCCACCACCACCTTTTTACAGAGAAGGAGGAAACTCACAAATCTTAGCAGTAACACTATGATGTTTGAATAAGCGTCTGTATACACACTGTCACCACAGACAGATGTATCCACAGGTTTTAAAACACACAGTAGCACTCTTCAGAGACAGGGATTCTTAGTTTGCATTAAAGAGCTTTAGAAACAGTTCAACACTTTTCAGATAATAGGATTTATTACTATAAAGGTCAAAATGGTGCAATATAAATAATTACAGAAAAGATGTAACAACTATATATATATACATAAATGGAGAGAACAATATCACAACAGAGAGATAAAGAAAGAAGTTTATTAAGGTAGAATACAAGGAGCAGGGCCCTCCTATCCCTCTTGTATTGAACTGTATCGTTGCTGTTTTGTCTCCCGTCATATTGTAAAGCGCTGAGCAAACTGTTGGCGCTATATAAATCCTGTATAATAATAATAATAATACTTGCAGAAGTCCTGGTTTAAGCAGAGTTCAAGTGTCTTGAACAAAAGGATACCTTTTCTCCCGAAGTTGGTTCCTGATGTTAAAAGGGAGAATCTCTTCATCTTCTCTCTCCAGGCATGACAGCCTGTTTTCTAGGAACCCAGCAGGGTGTCTCCTTAAAGCAGAGAACCAATTGCCTCATTTAGGAGGGGTGTTTAGGCGGAGACCCAGGCTGTGACCCAAATCCCTCTCAAGTTTATACCATGGTCAATAACCTTCCATAGGTGCATGCAGCAGCCTAGCCACTTGCAAGTTAATATGCAGAATGATATTCTGAACGTCCAGACATCAAATATGACATATCTGGCTGTGACGGGTAAAGAGATAATCAGGTATCAGGTGACTTGTATTAAACTGACCTCTCTGAATATATGCTTTGTTTTATTGTACCTTGTTCCTGCAGGGATTTATGAAATTTTATGAAAAAGTGGATTCAAGTGGGATATATGTTTCACTGCCCCTCTGGCATGCTTTCATGTCCAGTGACTGACTGGTTTATAGCTTTACGACCCGGCCAAGGCAAGGGTCTGTCAGACATCATGGAACCAGCTAATTGGGTTTACAACCATGAAGTGTATCCAGCTGTGCCCAATGCCCTTGTGACCCCAGCATACACACACACACACACCACATGTCATTCAAAAAAAAGGGAGGGGGGACTGATTTGGAGTGAGAATGACATTTGCAGAGTATGATCCAAATTATGGTTGTCATTGTCCATATCTGTGCGCACAATTATCACAGTCAGTGTGCCCTAATGATCAGTGTAGGCCCAGCAGTGCCACCTGTCTGTGTCCATCAATGCCACCTGCCAGTGCCCATTAGTGCCACATCAATGCCACATATCAGTGCCTACCAGTGTACATCAATGCCCATATGAGCTGCCTTTCAGTGCCACCTATCAGTGCTGCCAATCAGTGCTGCCTATCAGTGCACATCAGTGCCGCCTATCAGTGCACATCAGTGCTGCCTATCAGTGCCCGTCAGCGCTGCCTATCAGTGCCGCCTAACAGTGCCAGTCAGTGCCACCTAACAGTGCCAGTCAGTGCCATCTATCAGTGCCAGTCAGTGCCACCTATCACTGCCACCTATCAGTGCCATATATGAGTGCTGCCTTTCAGTGCCCATCAGTGATGCCTGTCATTGCCCATCAGTGCCACCTACCAGTGCCTCTTCATCAGTGCCCATCAGTGTAGCCTCATTAGCGCACATCAATGAAGGAGAAAAATCACTTATTTACAAAATGTTATAACAAAAAACTAAGAAAAAAATGTTTTTTTCTCCAAAAGTTTCAGTTTTTTGGTCTGTTTAGCAACAAATAAAAAACCCAGAGGTGATTAAATACTACCAAAAGAAAGCTCTGTCTCAAAAAATATAAAAATCTCATATGAGTACTGTGTTGCATGACCGCGCAATTGTCATTCAAAGTGTGACAGCAATGAAAGCTGAAAATTGGCCTGGACTGAAGGGGGTATAACTGCCCTGTAGGCAAGTGGTTAAACCTGTCTAAAAAATATCAACACATTTTTTTATTCCTCCGGTTGTTTTCCAGGCCATTGAATGCCTCCGTCACTACCTGTGTGACAAACTGATTGCGGAAAGGCACTTTGATTACTTGCGTTCAACCAGAATAATAAAACAAGGACGACACAGAAGAGATCATGAACCAGACTACCAGCAGTAAAAGAGCGGGTGAACTTCTGGACCGACTTGCGAAAAACCCCAAAGGCCTTGACAAGCTGATTGAATCAATTAAACTGTTACGGACACAGGATTTTCTCATTGACAAGATCACAGATGAGGTACTCCGACTGAAAAACGAGAAGCTGGAATCCTACAAAGGTAAGCGTGTCCCGCTCAAGGCTATAATGTAGACAAGAGGTACTGTAAACTATAAAGCTGTGTATTGAAGATAAGACAAAGCCTTTATTAGGGCGAGGAAGAGATAGTCGGATTCCTGTAAACTACCTGTGATGTATATTATAGCCTCTGGATCTGTAGACTGAGAACAAACCTATCCATATTTCCCATGCGGTGCCCATCTGGCACTTACATATGACTTTCAAACACTATGATGTAATGATACAATGAAAAGAAATAATGAAAGGAACCTAATTCAAGACAAAAATGATTACAAACATGTATAATATCAAGTTACATCTACTAAACATTTTCAGTACAGCATCTATTTATCAATGTTTTCACCCAACGTTGACCAAACTCTCAACAAATATTCACTCATTTTTCACATAAGATTCAACCAGAAAAATGCAAGAAACATGGATAAAAATTGTGTGAATTTTGGATGAAAATTGTAATAAAAAGATCCCCGGGATTTCCAAGTTTTTGTACTGACACTTTAAAATGCCAGCACCTTTGGTAGGTCTACTTTAGTCCTCATGCACACTGGATGTTTTTACAGTGGCTGTTTTTGGCTTTTGACATTTTTTTTTCTACAGCCAGTAAACCCCCCAGCATGTTATCCTATGTACCATGCACACATAGACTGTAATCAACATTTTTTGGCTGGGACCTTTTTTTGGCTGGAAAAAAACCCGAGGATTAATGAGTTTCTAGAAGAGTTTTTTTAGCTGTAAAAACGCTCTAATGCTGAAAAAACGCAGCTAAACGCGGTAAAATGCCGCAAAGCGTTTTTTTTGGACTTATTTTGACCCCCCAAAAAAATTTGTAAAAAAACTGCTAAAAATCACAAATGCGGGAAAACGTCGCTAAACGCGTCAAAACGATGCTAAACAATATGCAAAAAAGCTGAAAAACACACATTTTTAATGTGACTATACACAGCTAATGAGATATTTAACATGCATGTTTAGGAACACCTAGGTGACCCATAGGTGCATGCTGGTGTCAAAAACAGGGTGCCTACAAGAAACAAAGGACAGTTAGGTAGTGTTTGCACCCCTGATCATATTCTTCAAGAAGAACTGTGAATAGACTATGGACATTCAAATGTTTACATATTCTTAACAAGCAGTAAATAAGTTTTAAAACAAACCCTGACTGACCTCTGCAGTTACAAGCACTCTTGAGTAATTTATCATCAGGGAAGCAGAAATTTGGCCTTAGGAGTCATTGTGTGCTCACTTAGCAATCCTTTCACTGGTGAGTTGGCCAGTAATAGGATTGCTGATGTCACATGACATTTAAAGTAGAATTCTAGGCAAAACTTTTTTTTTTTAACGAAGAAACAAGTGTATTGAAAATACAGAGAGTTACAGCTGTTAGTCAAGCATATCAAAGCATTGAACAATTGAACAAGCAGCTGTGTAAATTATATCAATCAGATCGTATGTAAGTAGCCGGGGTAAATCATTCAACATCTGATGCCTCCAGTAGACAAACCAAAGGGTCCAAAGAGAGTTGTATGTCATACGCTTGATTAATAACATTTATGATCTCTCCCCAATACTGAACAAGTTTGGGACACTTCCAGATCATGCGAATAAAGTACTCAGTGTGAGCATTACATTTAGGACAAATGGGAGAGTCCCTTCTACCCAGGGGCGGACTGACAACTCATGGGGCCCCCGGGCAATAGGGGATCATGGGGCCCTTGTGTCCTTGCCCAAACTCAAAAAAGCCTATGAAAAAGGGTACCAGGGGCATCTCATGGGGTCCCCTACTGACCCCGGGCCCTCGGGCAGTGCCCGAGTTTCCAAATGGTCAGTCCCTGCTTCTACCCCAGGCATACAGTTGTGCTGGTGTACAGTAGGTGCGGTGAAGAATGAATAGGTAGGACAGTTTCTGCGCAGCAGACACCGACACCAATAGCACAGCAGCCAACACCGCCTCCCAACCCTCTCCATCTATAAGGCCTATATGTGCCTCCCACCTTCTCCTGAATGGCAATGAAGCCAAATCCTGTTCCTGCATGAGTAAATGCGAGTAAATTCTAGAAATGGCTCCCTTCTTGTTCCCTGAGAAAATAGAATCTAAGGCTGCTTTCACACTGGTTCGCCTCAAAAATGCTTGAAAAATGAAAACGCTACTAAAATACTGCATGAGTTATTTTATCAAGTCATGTGGTATTTTAGTAGCAAAAACCATGCGTTAATGTTTCAGCTGTCAGCAGGATTCCCCAATGACAGCTGAATGTAAAAGAAAGAATTGCTGGCAATTAAAAAAATAATTAAAAAACGTCGTGGAGTCCCCCCTTCCATCCATACCAAGCCCTTCGAGCCTGGTATGGATTTTGAGGGGAACTCCCACTCCAATGGGGTGGGGGGGGGGGACCCCCCAAAATCCATACCAGACCCTTATCCGAGGATGCAGCCCGGCAGGCCAGGAAAGGGCGGAGACAAGCAAGCACCCCCCCCCCTCCTGAACATACTAGGCCACATGCCCTCAACATGGGGGGGTGCTTTGGGGTGGTGGGGGGCTCCCCCCCAAAAGCACCTTGTCCCCATGTTGATGGGGACAAGGGCCTCTTCCCCACAACAATGGGCTGTGGTTGTGGGGGCCTGCAGGCGGGGGGCTTATCGGAATCTGGAAGCCCCCCTTTAGCAAGGGGGCCCCCAGATCAGGCCCCCCCATGTGAATGAGTATGGGGTACATGGTATCCATTCACAAAAAAAACTGTAGTGTGAAAAAAGACAGGAGCCAGTCGTTGACAAGTCCTTTATTAAATGAAGGAAAATAATGAATGTCCCCCGAAGTGGATCCTTCATGTGAAAGGGGCCTAAGAGTCCATAGCTAAAGTTTATTCTGCTCAGTCATCAGCCTCCAGGACCTCCACTGGGATCAGCACATTAAAATCCATGATACTAATTACAAAATGTACAGTTTCTTAAAGTAAACTTAGTCTCTAAAATATCATACAAATGTTAATGTGATTTAAAGTCATCACTACCTTAAACTCAATCTTTCAAAAACCAAGCTTGTAATATTTCCTCCTCCCCGATCCCCCACTCACGACTTTACCATTAAGATCAACAGCACAACCATTGGTCCTTCCCCTCATGCCAGGGTGCTAGGCGTAATCCTAGACTCTGACCTCTCCTTTGGGCCTGACATCCACTCACTGGCTAAATCCTGCCGCCTCAACCTCCGGAACATTTCCGAAATCCACCCCTTCCTGACCAATGACACCACAAAATAACGTATCCACACCTTGGTTATATCCCGCCTCGATTACTGCAACTCCTTCCTCACTGGTCTACCGTTACACAGGCTATCCCCCCTTCAGTCTATTATGAATGCTGCTGCTAGACTCATACACCTTACCAACCGATCAGCGACTGCTGCCCCTCTCTGCCAATCCCTCCACTGGCTTCCACTAACCCAACGTATAAAATTCAAAATACTAACCAAAGCTTACAAAGCCATCCACAACACTGCCCCTAGCTACATCGCCAACCTCATCCACAGATACCGCCCAAATCGCCCACTTAGCTCCTCCCATGATATCCTCCTCTCTAGCTCCCTCATCACCTCCTCCCACGCTCGCCTCCAGGACTTCTCCAGAGCCTCTCCCATCCTCTGGAACTCCCTACCAAAGCATGTCCACTCAGCCCCCACCCTGTCTGCCTTTAGGCGATCTTTGAAAACTCACTTCTTCAGGGAAACCTACCCCACCTCCACCTAAGAACTGTCCTTGAATCACCTCCGCCAGATCATCCCCCGCAGCTATCACCTTTTGTATCATCTCCCCCTTCCTTTAGATTGTAAGCTCCACGAGCCGGGCCCTCACATTCCTTCTGTACTGAAATGTATTGTAATTGTACTGTCTCCCTTATATTGTAAAGCGCTGAGCAAACTGTTGGCGCTATATATAAATTCTGTATAATAATAATAATAAAAAAAAAAAGTAATTTCCAATATTTTTAAATCTGTAGGTTTCAGTAAAATGATTCCTGGTGATCCTGTCATGAAGGTTCTTGTTTAGACACTTCCTGTTATAGGGTGACAACACTTTGCCTGTTTCCCAAATGTTCTCCTGCTTTGTTACTTGGACTTCTGATGGAGACTACAATGGTCATTTCCACATACATTACACAGGTTTGGTCCATTGTGCTCACCATCAGGAGACCCGCTCTGAGAAATGCCATGCAGCCAGGAGGTGGCCACAAAGAGGCTGCAAGGAGATCATCAACACGGAGATGCAACAAAAGACGAAATAGTGAAAACAGTATTTTATTACTAAAAAGACAATATTTTATGATACATAGTGCTTTAACTAACTAAATGTCATTCATTTCGGGATTACATCTACTTTAATGATTTGTATCTATACTCTGTCTTGCAGGATGCTGCCTGAGCACTTCGCCGGCCACACCAAATGGATTAAGTAGTGATCTTTATAGACAGCACTCCACAGATAGCAAGTTATTGTCACCAGAAACAGAATCCACGGTTCTTTATCACCCCGAGGGTGAATCTAGCCTTCCTCTTTATTTTAACACGACCCTGACATTAACTGATCAGTCTGTTGGGGACAACAGAGCAAGGAGCCCCAGGCAAAGTTCTCCCTATTCACTTCGGCTCCCCAGACCCGGAGAATTCGGAGGTCCTCCTCTTCCAGTGGCCCTTCCTCAGGAGCATGAAGACATGTGTAACAGCTTCCCGATTGACAATCAGTTTCTTCCCCTAAGGTCCACTTCACCCTCCAACCACTGAAAGTATCCAAGACTGTCATAACGTATTATCAACTGGCAAAGCACCACAATTTTGGAGGTTCTCAAACAACGTTTATGGACACCCAACTGTACTGGGAGTAAATCATGCAGCACTGAGGTTGTTAGCTGAAAGAAGTCATGGACTTCATATAAAAAACACATGCACACTATTGGGTGTATTTATAAAATATTTGCATAGCAATCCCACCCAGTGAAAGTGCGATTTATATTTGTTCTGCGGGAAGAGGGAAAAAAAACTAGTTATTATGCTATTTCGTGTGCTGAACAAGTAGGTGCTATGCCCAGAGATAATCCCCATGGAGGGGGTGCTCTGCCTCTGTGTGTCTTCCCAGCACAGATACAACTGAATGATGAGGATTGGTATAGCCGGCACTTGTCTTCTCGAATAATAAAGTTTATTGAGTGAGTAAAATGTGCATATAAAATGGCTTACGCATTTCGGCAATAAGCCTTAGTCATAGCCACCAATGCTATGCCGAAACGCGTAAGCCATTTTATATGCACATTTTACTCACTCAATAAAGTTTAATATTCGGGAAGATAAGTGCCGGCTATACAAATCCTCATTTTTCAAGTGCTGGTCAAATACTTTTCATTGATATAAAATGAAAAATACCACATTTGGCCACTAGACGGCACTTAGTATCATAGGAAATGCCTATGATACTTAGATCCATCTAGTGACCAAATGTGGTATTTCCTGTTTTATGGCCCAACTCCAGAAAAATTTAAAAATGATCCCTTTCAGTGCCCCTCCCACTGCCTCACTGCAAAGGTGAATTTCGTAATTTTTCTGGAGTTGGGCTTTAAATCAATTAAAAATAAATTGACCACCAATAGCCTACTGCATTCGTTTTTTTGCCCCATTTGCTCAGAACGAATGTAAATGGGGGAATTAAAATGCAATTCTTTTTTATAAATACGCCCTTATGGGTACTGGAGTGAACCTGTGCTCAAGGTGGCCTGGATAACAGTGAGATCTTAGTGTGACTTTGTCATTAGCCCAATGCAGCAGATGTTAACTCTAAGAGCACAGCCGCTCAGTACACTGAAAATCACATGGTTGTTGTCCTGCTATTACATCACCTTGCTTAAAGTATTTTTTTTTTTAAATAAAGTAGGAGAGTAAGGAATGGTTAAATACAGGTCAAGTTTTTTTCTGCTGTATGTGTCATTTTGCAGAGATTTTCCTTTACTTCCTGTCCCAGGGACACAACAGGAAGTACGGGAAAATCTCTCTAGAACCCTGGTGCCAGACATGCCGCCTGCTAGCTCTTTTTTTTGTGTGGCCTGGTGACTCCTGGGCTGAGTCTGCCACCTGTGGCAATAGGGTGCTGGGGACACTCTCTACATTCCTACACCCGGAACTAAAATGAAGCGGATACTGTCAGGCACAGTGATCGCCACCCAACAGTAGAAGTATAGTCCCAGCCTGACTTCATCGGGAAGGGGTGGGGACTGGGTGATCAGGTAAGTAAACAGTGGGCACTAACCCTGGTAATGAACAACAGTGTTGGTAGTTAATAACACTGCCACTGACCACGAATACAAAAGGTGGCTAATTAATATTGTCACTGACCAGCAATGTAGTTTAAATAACACTGCCACTGAATATCAATACAGGAAGGGGGTTAAGGGCGCGGTCGATGGTGCCAATGCTGGGGGTTATTATTGCGGTCACTGGCACCAATGCTGGGGGTTATTATTGCGGTCACTGGCACCAATGTGAGGGTTATGATTGTGGTCACTGGCTCCAGTGTTTGGGGTTATTATTGCCATCAATAGCACCAATGCTGAGATTTATTATTGCAGTTCCTGGCACCAATGCTGGGGGTTATGATTATGGTCACTGGCTCCAATGCTGAGGGTTATTATTGCGGTCACTGGCACCAAAGGTGGGGGTTATGATTATGGCCACTGACACCAATTCTGGGGGTTATTATTTTGCTCACTGATGCCAATTCTGGGGTATACTACTGTGGCCACTGACACCAATGCTGGGAGTTATTATTTTGGTCACTGACACCAATGCTGGGGTATAATACTGTGGCCACTGACACCAATGCTGGAGGATACTACTGTGGCCACTGACACCAATGCTGGAGGATACTACTGTGGCCACTCATACCAATGCTGGGGGATACTACTGTGGTCACTGACACCGAAGCTGAGAGTTACTATTACTGCCACTGACACCAACAGTTGCAGTTATTTTACATTCACCTTCTCTTCATTGCGTGCTCTGGTAAAAAAAAAATGCAGCAGCATTGAAGTTTCTGGGCAATGAGGTGCATTAGAGTCTATTAATTTTGAATGTGCTGCCTAACCAGATACAATGCATTTCAGTGCATCAAAATTAGCTACTATTGTACAACCGACAGGACACGTCGGACCTCAATAATTTTCAAGTTAACTACCACTGCTATTGAGTGAATGAGTAAAGGTAATCTTCTCTTAAACAGTTGTCACCCAAACAGATACTCTCTTTCAACCTCTATTCCTGTGCTGGTGACAACTCAGAAGTTGGCTTTTCCCTCTTTTCCTTTCCCAGTAACAGTGGTCACCATAGCAAATAGAGAGGATGAATCACCCCAGTGGGCCAAACCTGCATCCTTACCCCCAGAATCTTTTGTCCTTTGTCTCCATCTATATTCTAAATCCTGAGAAAGGGTGTGTTCTATCCCTGAAACATGTTGGAAACATACAAAATGTTTTGGACTGTTTTCATTGAATAAAGTTTACAATTGAACGCACATCTTTGAGTGTTGACAGTGAATCTAATCCTTCCCTACGCAATCCAAAACTCCACAACACGCGTGCATTTTAGCACACCAGACAGAAGGCAACTATCTGCGCTTTGTGGTGTGCTGTGCTGAAAATAATGCTGCAGGTTCATTACCACTTACATGAATGCACAAAATGATCCAAATAATACAAGTTAAGGTGTAGCACTCCCTAGTGTGCTACTAGAGTAGTTTAGGTAAATCTATTGTGTATGAGTCATGGTAACTGTGTGAGTCTGTAAATCAGGTCAGGTTACTGCAGGGCAGGCTGGACGGCTTAACAGGTTGGGATGCTATCGCTTTCACCTGGTTCTGGAGGACCATGGAACCTACCAGAAGCCAGTGGGCAGAAGGGGCGAAAACCTAATCTGCATGTTTATGGGAATTTAACCAATCCCAGGTTTGGAGGCCCTGGTAGAGAAGTGAGGCCAACCTATAAATATGGAGTCAGGTGGAAGATGGAGTGTGGAGGAGACGGTCGGTGGCCTGAAAGGTCTAGGGGGGCTAAGCTTGGGCTGGCTCAGGAGGGACCATTCAGCATTACGGTATGAACGGGATCAAGGACTGGGAGCAGTGGGAGCAAGTTGGGCATCCCATAATCCCTATTACCCAAAGTTACATCCCCTAATAAAATAACAAAAAACAAGCTCATGGACTGTTCAATGACTGTGGATGCAAGTGTGGAAAATGTGTGTTGTCTGGCTGTGTGAAGCCTAGGGGGACCCAGAAACACAGTGGTCCTCAAGATGGTAGCACTACACACGTATGCACTAACACACCACTGATATCCAAACATATGTTCCTCCTTATGTCTGATCCTTGCTGTCAATGTTCATGGACACTGGCCTGTTATACAGAGCTCGTACTACTGCGGCATCACCCTCATCCATTCACAGGGTTCTGTTTTCATGAACTTGGTGCAAGGCTTACGACTACATTCACAGCGGCAGAAATGTGTCGCAAATGCCTTGTAAATCTCCCCCAATGTTTTTAAAAATGTGAGATTGCTGTTGGCTGGGTAACTTCTTGTTTGGCACTAAATGAAAAAAAAAGGCACAGAACACCAGCAGGAAAAGATCAAAAGGGGAATTGAAAATGTGAAGCAACCCTGTGTATAGGATGTTTAATGCAGATTGTGAAATAGGTTCTTAAAGTGGAACTAACCCCATTGATTTACCTGTTTCCCCAAACACACACAGTCTAGGCATGTTATGAATGATAATTGTCACAGTTGCTTGTGTTCTCAACTAAACTATCAGGCCATTAAATGGCTGACATCACCCACATGGAAGAAAAATATATTTGAAATATATTTTAAAAATATTCTTCCCAAATATATTGATATATATTTGAAATGCTACAATTTTGGCCGTATTCAATATATTTAAAAATATGTTTTAATAATAAACATCTATCTATCTATCTATCTATCTATCTATCTATATACTGTATGTTGAAATGCGTTATTACAAAATATATGAAAAATATTTTTAAAAATACATTTCAAATATACTGTGTGTCTTTAAAAATATAAATCTACATTTTTGGAATGCATTTACAAATATATGTAAAAATATATGTTAAAGTGACTTTTTTATATGTTAAAAAAAAATCTGAAGAATATACTTAAAAAATATATATTTTTAAAAATATATACATATGTATTATACATGGTGATCATATCCCCCCTATGTATTATACATGGAGATCATATCCCCCTTATGTATTATACATGGAGCTCATATCCCCCCTTATGTATTATACAGGGAGATCATATCCCCCCTTATGTATTATACATGGAGATCATATCCCCCCTTATGTATTATACATGGAGATCATATCCCCCCTTATGTATTATACATGGTGCTCATATCCCCCTTTATGTATTATACATGGAGATCATATCCCCCCTTATGTATTATACATGGTGATCATATCCCCCTTATGTATTATACATGGAGATCATAGCCCCCCTTATGTATTATACATGGAGATCATATCCCCCCTTATGTATTATACATGGAGATCATATCCCCCCTTATGTATTATACATGGTGCTCATCCCCCTTTATGTATTATACATGGAGATCATATCCCCCCTTATGTATTATACATGGTGCTCATATCCCCCTTATGTATTATACATGGAGATCCTATCCCCCCCCCTTATGTATTATACATGGAGCTCATATCCCCCTTTATGTATTATACATGGAGATCATATCCCCCCTTATGTATAATACATGGTGCTCATATCCCCCTTATGTATTATACATGGAGATCATATCCCCCTTATGTATTATATATGGAGATCATATCCCCCTTATGTATTATATATGGTGATCAAATCCCCCTTATGTATTATACATGGAGATCATATCCCCCCTTATGTATTATACATGGAGATCATATCCCCCTTATGTATTATACATGGAGATCATATCCCCCCCTTATGTATGTATTATGTACATGGAGATCATCATATCCCCCCTTATGTATTATACATGGTGATCATATCCCCCCTTATGTATTATACATGGAGATCATATCCCCCCCTTATGTATTATACATGGAGATCATATCCCCCTTATGTATTATACATGGAGATCATATCCCCCCCCCTTATGTTTATGTATTATACATGGAGATCATATCCCCCCTTATGTATTATACATGGTGATCATATCCCCCCCTTATGTATTTATACATGGAGATCATATCCCCCTTTATGTATTATACATGGAGATCATATCCCCCCCTTATGTATTATACATGGTGATCATATCCCCCCTTAATCTCCTCTTCTCAAGAGGGAATAAATTCAGTTCCTCTAATCTTTCCTCATAGCTGAGCTCCTCCATGCCTCCTAGTTTGGTTGCCCTTCTCTGTACTTTCTCCAGTTCCCCAATGTTCTTTTTGTGAATTGGTGCCCAAAACTAAACTTCATATTCCAGATGATTTGTACCAGGGGGTGATATCTCTCTCTGGAGTCTATACCTCTTCTAATACAAGAGAGGATTTTGCTCACTTTAGAACCCGCAGCTTGGCATTGCATGCCATTACTAAGCTTGTGATCTACCAGAACTCCCAGATCCTTCTCCACCATTGATTCCCCCAGTTGTACCCTCCTAGTATGTATGATGCATATTCTTAGCCCCCAAGTGCAGAACCTTACATTTATCAACATTAAACCTCATTTGCCACATAGTTGCCCAATTAAACAATGCATTGAGGCCAGCTTGTAAATTGGAGACAGCTTGGTGTCATCTGCAAAGACTGAAATGGGATTTGTAATCCCAGACCATATATTAGGGTTCATTTTAGTGTATTAGATTGTAAGCTCTAACGACCAGGCCCTCCGATTCACACTACATTGTACGGTAACTGTGATGTCTGCCTTCATTTTGTAAAGCGCTGCGCAAACTGTTGGCGCTATAGAAATCCTGTATAATAATATTTGTCTCCTGAAAATATGCATTTGATAAAAAAAAAAAAAAAACGCTGCAATTACTGTACAACATAAATTGCAACTACCACCATTTTATTCTCCAGAGTCACTACATTGGATAATACAGTCAGGTCCATAAATATTGGGACATCGACACAATTCTAACATTTTTGGCTCTATACACCACCACAATGGATTTGAAATGAAACAAACAAGATGTGCTTTAACTGCAGACTGTCCGCTTTAATTTGAGGGTATTTACATCCAAATCAGGTGAACGGTGTAGGAATTACAACAGTTTGCATACGTGCCTCCCACTTGTTAAGGGACCAAAAGTAATGGGACAGAATAATAATCATAAATCAAACTTTCACTCTTTAATACTTGGTTGCAAATCCTTTGCAGTCAATTACAGCCTGAAGTGTGGAACGCATAGACATCACCAGACGCTGGGTTTCATCTCTGGTGATGCTCTGCCAGTCCTCTACTGCAACTGTCTTCAGTTCCTGCTTGTTCTTGGGGCATTTTCCCTTCAGTCTTGTCTTCAGCAAGTGAAATGCATGCTCAATCGGATTCAGGTCAGGTGATTGACTTGGCCATTGCATAACATTCCACTTCTTTCCCTTAAACTCATTGGTTGCTTTTGCAGTATACTTTGGGTCATTGTCCATCTGCACTGTGAAGCGTCCAATGAGTTGTGAAGCATTTGGCTGAATATGAGCAGATAATATTGCCCGAAACACTTCAGAATTCATCCTGCTGCTTTTGTCAGCAGTCACATCATCAATAAATACAAGAAAAGCAGTTCCATTGGCAGCCATACATGCCCACGCCATGACACTACCACCACCATGCTTCACTGATGAGGTGGTATGCTTAGGATCATGAGCAGTTCCTTTCCTTCTCCATACTCTTCTCTTCCCATCACTCTGGTACAAGTTGATCTCGGTCTCATCTGTCCATAGGATGTTGTTCCAGAACTGTGAAGGCTTTTTTACATGTTTTTTGGCAAACTCTAATCTGGCCTTCCTGTTTTTGAGGCTCACCAATGGTTTACATCTTGTGGTGAACCCTCTGTATTCACTCTGGTGAAGTCTTCTCTTGATTGGTGACTTTGACACACATACACCTACCTCCTGGAGAGTGTTCTTGATCTGGCCAACTGTTGTGAAGGGTGTTTTCTTCACCAGGGAAAGAATTCTTCGGTCATCCACCACAGTTATTTTCCGTGGTCTTCCGGGTCTTTTGGTGTTGCTGAGCTCACCGGTGCGTTCCTTCTTTTTAAGAATGTTCCAAACAGTTGTTTTGGCCACGCCTAATGTTTTTGCTATCTCTCTGATGGGTTTGTTTTGTTTTTTCAGCCTAATGATGGCTTGTTTCACTTATAGTGACAGCTCTTTGGATCTCATCTTGAGAGTTGACAGCAACAGATTCCAAATGCAAATAGCACACTTGAAATGAACTCTGGACCTTTTATCTGCTCATTGTAATTGGGATAATGAGGGAATAACACACACTTGGCCATGGAACAGCTGAGAAGCCAATTGTCCCATTACTTGTGGTCCCTTAACAAGTGGGAGGCACATATGTAAACTGTTGTAATTCCTACACCGTTCACCTGATTTGGATGTAAATACCCTCAAATTAAAGCTGACAGTCTGCAGTTAAAGCACATCTTGTTCATTTTATTTCAAATCCATTGTGGTGGTGTATAGAGCCAAAAATGTTAGAATTGTGTTGATGTCCCAATATTTATGGACCTGACTGTATACACATTTTTGGGGGGTTTACAGTAATTTCTAGCAAAAAATGCCGATAAAAAATAAAGTGTTACTAAACTCACAACAGTAAAATCAGTCTGTATATGCAGTAAAGCATGCTTGTTATACTCACTGTGGAACCTAAGGGGTTAATCCTCTGCATTGTGTAAAAAGGCTGTTTGGTCCTGTCTTCTCTGATCCTCCCCTTCTTCCAGTGCCCCCCTCTTATCTCCTGATAAGACATATTGTGTGGAGTCACTCTGCACATGCTCAGTTTAGTGTGTATTACTAGAGATGATTTTTTTTTGGGAGAGTGCATGCGATCAGCACGGGGCCAATCAGCAATCTCCAGACAGAGGTCAGAGGTCCTGCATCCTCCTAGAGCAAAATTAAAACTCCTCCTACAAGCTTTAACCAGTGCTCTGCTGGACACTGATAGAAGTCACAAGACTGCACTAACTGCTGATGAGAAAAGATATTTAGCAGATTATACTTGTACAATCATTGCATTTCCATGTTGTGTGTACTGTGGGAGACCAGATATAGTGAATGCAGGGTCCGGGGAGACCAGATATAGTGAATGCAGGGTCCGGGGAGACCAGATATAGTGAATGCAGGGTCCGGGGAGACCAGATATAGTGAATGCTGGGCCCGGGGAGAGACCATATATAGTGAATGCGGGGTCCGGGGAGACCAGATATAGTGAATGAATGCGGGGTTCGGGAGACCAGATATAGTGAATGCAGGGTCCAGGGAGACCAGATATAGTGAATGCGGGGTTCGGGAGACCAGATATAGTGAATGCTGGGCCCGGGGAGACCATATATAGTGAATGCAGGGTCCGGGGAGACCAGATATAGTGAGTGCGCGGCCCGGGGAGACCAGATATAGTGAATGCGTGGGCCCGGGGAGACCACATATAGTGACTGCGGAGTCCGGGTAGACCAGATATAGTGACTGCGGGGTCCGGGTAGACCAGATATAGTGACTGCGGGGTCCGGGGAGACCAGATATAGTGAAATCGGGGTCCGGGGAGACCAGATATAGTGAATGCGGGGGTCCAAGTAGACCAGATATAGTGACTGTGGTGTCCGGGTAGACCAGATATAGTGACTGCGGGTTCCGGGGAGACCAGATATAGTGAATGCAGGGTCCGGAGAGACCAGATATAGTGAATGCGGGGCCCGGGGAGACCAGATATAGTGAATGCGGGGCCCGGGGAGACCAGATATAGTGAATGCGGGGTTCGGGAGACCAGATATAGTGAATGCTGGGCCCGAGTAGACCATATATAGTGAATGCAGGGTCCGGGGAGACCAGATATAGTGAGTACGGGGTCCGGGGAGACCAGATATAGTGAATGCAGGGTCCGGGGAGACCGGATATAGTGAATGCAGGGTCCGGGGAGACCAGATATAGTGAATGCGGGGTCCGGGGTAGACCAGATATAGTGAGTGCGGGGTTCGGGGAGACCAGATATAGTGAGTGCGGGGTCCGGGGAGACCGGATATAGTGAATGCAGGGTCCTGGGTTTAGTAACACTTTAAATGGCAGATGGTAAAAGGCATGGATACTTCCTGAGTCACTGGTCCAGGACATGTTGTTTATGACTCAGTAGCTGGAGACAACCCATCAGTAGTGGCCGCCATACAGCTTTCTGTGCAGAGGGCGCAGTGCGCGGAGGGGCCGCAGGGTGGCGCCGTTCGGCAGCAGGACGCTCCTCTTCCATAGAAAGGAGGTGTGTGAACCCGGAAATGACTTCCTCTCCGGAAGCCTGGCTGATGAGGGACGGTATTGCAGGGTGCACCATGGCGGCGGAGGAGAAGGATCCTCTGAGTTATTTCGCGGACTATGGGAGCTCGGAGAGCAGCAGTGAGGAAGAGGACGGGGATAGGAAGGGAAGGGCGGCGGAGGTGAAGAGGCCGCCCCCAGCACGCCGCCTCCCCGGACCTGATGAGCTCTTTCAGACTGTTAGCCGCCCGGCCTTCCTGTCCGCCCCTTCCAGCTCCACCATCAACTGGGAGAAGAGGCTCATCCGACCCCCCGAGGAGGTGACAATGAAGGAGGGGCAGGAGATTAAAGGGGGAGGGGGATAGAGATGAGATGACTGGAGGGGACAATGGGTTTCTGGAAGGAATTCAAAGGAGAGATGGGGACAGGGGGGGGGGGGGGGAGATGGAAGAGATCAGGACATCACTGACTGGGGGGGTGTAGGGGGGGCATCGGGGGAGGGGGTTACAGGGGAGATGGGGGACGAGGAGGTGATGGGGATGAGGAGGTCATGGGAGATATGGGGACTTATGCATATCATCATGACGAGGAGTTCATGGGAGAGATGAGAATGGGTAGGTCATGGGAGAGATGGGGCGAGGAGGGCACGGGAGGGATGGGGGTGAGGAGGGCACGGGAGGGATGGGGGCGAGGAGGTCATTGTAGAGATGGGGACGAGGAGGTCATTGTAGAGATGGGGACGAGGAGGTCATTGTAGAGATGGGGACGGGGAGGTCACGGGAAGGATGGGGACGGGGAGGTCACGGGAGGGATGGGGACGGGGAGGTCACGGGAGGGATGGGGACGGGGAGGTCACGGGAGGGATGGGGGCGAGGAGGTCACGGGAGGGATGGGGGCGAGGAGGTCACGGGAGGGATGGAGGCAGACAGGTCATAAGGATGGGTACGATGTAGTCATGGGAGAGATGAGGAGATGACAAGAGAAATGGGGACATAGTGACAAGATGCTAACGGGGACATAGTGACAAGATGCTAACGGGGACATAGTGACAAGATGCTAACGGGGACACACACACCAGGGACATGGGACTTCCATGGGGATGAAAGTGCTTACACTTAGATCAATAAAGGGTGTACTCACAATTATCACTTTTCCTGGCAGAGTGAAGGCCAGGATGGCAAAATAATACCGTTTGTAAAACACATTCCTTTCCGTTTTGTCCCATGATGTTCTTACATGTTGTAGTTTCATTTCTCCTCCATTGAAAATATTTTCATTTTGCTTGTTGCCATGCGGGAACTATGCAAACATCATTCTGAAATTCACTGAATCCAAATAACAAAGTGATTTGGAGCTATAGATTGCTGCATCTTTAACATGTAATCTCTGAAGTCACATCTGTGTTCAGCCCCCAATGACATGCAGCAGAATTTGACAGATTCCTTTAGGGGTTAATAGAAACTTCAAAAGCCTAAACAGGGCCAACTAAACATATCTCTGGATGGACATTGGTTACAGAGTTAAATATTTCACAGCTCTGCTTTACAAGTTTGATGGAGTTCTACTCTAAAGATACACTTTCTCCTAAGTATTAGATGGTCTCTAATGTTCTTGTTTTTATTGGAACAGCCTCCCAGAGAGTTTAAGGTGTGGAAGACGAATGCAGTTCCTCCTCCGGAATCCTACAAGATAGAGGAAAAGAAGGGGCCGCCCCCTGAGTTGGACATGGCTATAAAATGGTCCAGTATGTACCAAGACAACGGAGATGATGCTCCTCAACAGGTGAACAAGGTTACGTTTCTTCCGGATGAAGAGAACCCTGATGACTCTCCCGGTAAGAGAACATTCTTACGTCAAAAAACCTCTATAGTGTATACAGCTTAAAGATTATGCAAATGCATGAGAAGGGTTCTACCCTTTGTCAGGATTTATTCAGGGGATTCATTACTCTGTCCTGGTGAGCTTTGTTACGGAGACAGAAAATGGGGGGTAAATCTCAAAAATGTGAATTGCCATTAAAGCAAGAGGTGAGGGAAAATCCTACAATGGGGACACTGTTCCTATGACAACTAGCTGAGATGGCAAATCCTTTTATGTTGGAAAGATCGCCTCTCATTTTCTGTTGTGTCTTCAAAATGAAAGTAACCTGATAGAGTTCCAACCCTTCTCTACATGATCTATCGCTAATGAAAAAAATGTTTTGGCTTTATATTAACTTTGTGGCAGAAAGCAGTAAATGTTTTCAAATGACAGTCCTGGTAACAACCAGGGATTCCCTCATTTCCTGTTTTGGCTGTGGGATAGGAAATGAAGGGAAATCTCCCTAATGGCAGTTAGGTGAGTCAGCTTACAATGTTTTTGATATGATATTACACACACACACACACATGCGTACACACACACGTACACACACACGTACACACGTTGGAGGGGTATGATAGAGCTACAAGGAAGTCCAAAATGTCCATCAACAAAGTCCAAAAGCGGGGGAGACTATGAGTGTTCACAATGGCAAATGGCAGCATCCTTGGCAGCACCCTCAAAGCAAAGCTGGACTCTGTATGCAAAAGAAAGAGGATAGGGGTGCTGGACTAAGTGCAGCATTAGGTGTACAGTTCATTAGCACAATGACAATTGGCAACTTACGATTAATAAAAAAGAGATAGGCATGTCACCAATGATGTGGTCCAGACTCCCGGGAACCGAAGGAGGAGAGGAGGTGTCCAAACGTCAAGGTTGTAGCTGGAGAGAGGATCCTGGAGCTTCCGGCCACCGCAGGGAACCAGCGTGGAATGCAAATGGCGCCAGGGCGGACGTGACGTCAGCGCTGGAACGTGATGACGTGGATGGGCGGTAATGTGTTTCGAAGCTTCTTCCTCAGACCTCAGGAACTGTACACCTAATTCTGCACTTAGTCCAGCACCCCTCTCCTTTCTTTCCTTTACAATGTTTTTGTAGTTCTATGGACAGAGTGATGCACATACCTCATACTGCAGTGAAGTGTGTGTCGCCAATACTGGTAGACTGGCTGCTGAATATAGCTTCTTTAGTCCAAAACACTACAAGAGGTATGGACATAATGGGCAGTGCATTAACTTCCAGGTTGAGCAACAGTGGCCATCATTCAACCAGGCTGCAAGGGATTGCGCTGATGAGAAGGAAGTAATGCAGCAGGAATAGCTGCCTTTTCAGTTTAGTTGGCCATTGGGATGGCTGTCTGATAGGCTGGGTAGGTTTCCCAATGGCCAGCTAAGCAAGCTCACAAGGACAGCTAGCAATGCTTCTGCTAATTTCAAGGCAGTGGCATAGGATTGTCAGTCTGCAACAGGACGTGCCATCACTGGTAGGATCTTTAGGTAAGACACTTTGTAAATATATTTGCAAAACGGGAGGTGCTGGAGTCCTAACACACCTCCTGACCTAAGGAGACATGCTGCTCTTCCAGGGATACAGTAGAGTGAGAGGGCATTGTCACCCTATGACAAGAAGTGTGTTACAGGCAGCCTGGCCAAGTGAAACTAAATACAAAAATAGTTTGGAAAAAAGGAAATGCATGCAGCCACCACATCGAAGGACTGGCAAGCTGCAGTTTAGTACAGCTTTGTTCTTGGACAGCGCTTTAATGAAAGCTGTAGGTTTAAAAAAATGTAAGCCAACTTTTAAAATGGAATCAATATGAAAAGACTGTGCTCCTCTGCTGCCCTTGTGAAACAAAGAAATTCAATGTGAAAGCAAAACTAAAGCACAAAATTTAAAACAAATGTGCATTTAATTATCGTGCATTAATGTCCATCAAAATTACCCTGATGAAGTCACGTGACTAGTGACGATATGTATGGCGCAATTAGGTGACACCAGATTAGGACTGGATGTGTGGTAAACGTGCTGGATACTTTCTATTCCTTTTTTAACCTGTATAAATATGAGCGCAGCTTTAAATAAACTCCATGTGTGTTTTGAATGCTACACAATGGCAGCATCTATGTGGCTCTGAGTAGATTTTATAGAGACACACAGAGGCATTACCGTGCATTTAAAGCAGTGGTTCTCAACCTTTCTAATGCCGCGACCCCTTAATACAGTTCCTCATGTTGTGGTGACCCCCAACCATAAAATTATTTTCGTTGCTACTTCATAACTGTAATTTTGCAGTGGGAGGAGTAGTGCCACATCATTGGTGTCAGTGGAAGGAGTAGTGCCCCATCACTGATGTCAGTGGGATGAATAGTGCCCCATCGTTGGTATCAGTGGGAGGAATAGTGCCCCATCACTGGTGTCAGTGGGAGGAATAGTGCCCCATCGTTGGTATCAGTGGGAGGAATAGTGCCCCATCATTGGTGTCAGTGGGAGGAATAGTGCCCCATCATTGGTGTCAGTGGGAGGAATAGTGCCCCATCATTGGTGTCAGTGGGAGGAATAGTGCCCCATCATTGGTGTCAGTGGGAGGAATAGTGCCCCATCATTGGTGTCAGTGGGAGGAATAGTGCCCCATCATTGCTGTCAGTGGGAGGAATAGTGCCCCATCATTGGTGTCAGTGGGGGAGTAGTGCCCCATCACTGGTTCAGTGGGGGGGAGAATAGTGTGCCCCATCACTGGTGTCAGTGGGGGGGAGTAGTGCCCCATCACTGGTGTCAGTGGGGGGAGTAGTGCCCCATCACTGGTGTCGGTGGGGGGAATAGTGCCCCATCACTGGTGTCGGTGGGGGGGAGTAGTGCCCCATCACTGGTGTCGGTGGGAGGAGTAGTGCCCCATCACTGGTGTCGGTGGGAGGAGTAGTGCCCCATCACTGGTGTCGGTGGGAGGAGTAGTGCCCCATCATTGGTGTCGGTGGGGGGAGTAGTGCCCCATCATTGGTGTCAGTGGGGGGAGTAGTGCCCCATCCTGGTGTCAGTGGGAGGAATAGTGCCCCATCACTGGTGTCAGTGGGGGGAGTAGTGCCCCATCACTGGTGTCAGTGGGGGGAGTAGTGCCCCATCACTGGTGTCAGTGGGGGGAGTAGTGCCCCATCACTGGTGTCAGTGGGGGGAGTAGTGCCCCATCACTGGTGTCAGTGGGGGAGTAGTGCCCCATCACTGGTGTCAGTGGGGGGAGTAGTGCCCCATCACTGGTGTCAGTGGGGGAGTAGTGCCCCATCACTGGTGTCAGTGGGGGAGTAGTGCCCCATCACTGGTGTCAGTGGGGGGAGTAGTGCCCCATCACTGGTGTCAGTGGGGGGAGTAGTGCCCCATCACTGGTGTCAGTGGGGGGAGTAGTGCCCCATCACTGGTGTCAGTGGGGGGAGTAGTGCCCCATCACTGGTGTCAGTGGGGGGAGTAGTGCCCCATCACTGGTGTCAGTGGGGGGAGTAGTGCCCCATCACTGGTGTCAGTGGGGGGGAGTAGTGCCCCATCACTGGTGTCAGTGGGGGGAGTAGTGCCCCATCACTGGTGTCAGTGGGGGGAGTAGTGCCCCATCACTGGTGTCAGTGGGGGGAGTAGTGCCCCATCACTGGTGTCAGTGGGGGGAGTAGTGCCCCATCACTGGTGTCAGTGGGGGGAGTAGTGCCCCATCACTGGTGTCAGTGGGGGGAGTAGTGCCCCATCACTGGTGTCAGTGGGGGGAGTAGTGCCCCATCACTGGTGTCAGTGGGGGGAGTAGTGCCCCATCACTGGTGTCAGTGGGGGGAGTAGTGCCCCATCACTGGTGTCAGTGGGGGGAGTAGTGCCCCATCACTGGTGTCAGTGGGGGGGGTAGTGCCCCATCACTGGTGTCAGTGGGGGGAGTAGTGCCCCATCACTGGTGTCAGTGGGGGGAGTAGTGCCCCATCACTGGTGTCAGTGGGGGGAGTAGTGCCCCATCACTGGTGTCAGTGGGAGGAGTAGTAGTGCCCCATCACTGGTGTCAGTGTGGTGGAGGGGAGAATAGTGCCCCATCATTGGGGCCGGGGGGGGGGGGGAAATAGTGTCCCATCGTTGGTGTCAGTGGGGGGAGGAATAGTGCCCCATCATTGGTGTCAGTGGGAGGAATAGTGTCCCATCGTTGGTGTCAGTGGGGGGAAATAGTGCCCCATCGTTGGTGTCAGTGGGGGGAGGAATAGTGCCCCATCATTGATGTCAGTGTGGTGGAGGGGAGAATAGTGCCCCATCAATGGGGTCAGGGGGGGGGGAAATAGTGTCCCATCGTTGGTGTCAGTGGGGGGGAATAGTGTCCCATCGTTGGTGTCAGTGGGGGGAGGAATAGTGCCCCATCGTTGGTGTCAGTGGGGGGAGGAATAGTGCCCCATCGTTGGTGTCAGTGGGGGGAGGAATAGTGCCCCATCGTTGGTGTCAGTAGGAGGAATAGTGCCCCATCATTGGTGTCAGTGGGGGGAGGAATAGTGCCCCATCGTTGGTATTAGTGACAGCCTGGGCTCGCTCTCTCACTTACCTGTCAGCTGTCTTCCTTCTCTGGCCGCTCTCCTCTTCACTCGCTCCGGCAGCTCCCTCGATCTTCTTTGATGTACGCGCGCTGCCGCTCGGCTCCTCCTCTCCAAGCTCCACCTCCTCGCCGGTGATTGGCCGCCTGTGTGCCTCTCCTGAGCTACAGTTCCGGTGGCCAATCAGCGGCGAGGAGGCGGAGCTGCTGAGCGATCCCGGAGGTGTGGCCAAGTGACAGGAGCAGCGTATCATTCCGCCCACACATCGCCGGAGAGAGGAGCGGTGTCTCGGTTCCTAAGACCATCGGAAATATGTGTTTTCCGATGGTCTTAGGCGACCCCTGGGAAATGGTCGTTCGACCCCCAGGTTGAGAACCGCTGATTTAAAGGGAGAGCTACCTGGAATTGACCAGTGAGAGATTGGAGTGCCTGTCAAAACTGAGGGGCACCAGATACAATTCCCTAGAGAAGGGGCAGCGCAATTAGTATGTTGTATTACACCTATAGGTCACAGGATTGAGGCGAGAGCACAACCGCTATCACTGATTGGGTGTTCACAGACTGAGACAAGTATTGGCAGCATCAGGATTATGTAATTGTGTCCAATAGCAGGATATCGCTGTGGGGCTTTGATATCCCAGTGTGACAGGAGGCATCTTTGTGATTGGATCTATGATACTTGGGACTTTTGATGGACATTCATGCATGCTATTTATATTAAATTTTAACTTTTGTGTTTTTAGTTTTTCATATTGAATTTGTTTGTTTGACAAGTAATTAACTAGTTTAGGGTAGCAGTGCAGCACAGTGTATTTATATTGATTTGGTTTTAGTGGGGAACGCACACTGTCGGTGTTTGCAGCAGCTGCATAAGGATAGAACATTTGAGATCAGTTGTGGCCGTGCGCAAGAGGTTTAGTTTACACAGCTTTTGAAATTGCATGGATTAGGTAAAGCGTTTGCGAGATGTAGCGATTGGTTTTAGTTTTACTTTGAAGCAGAATTAAACTTTTCGTGTCCTGCAGGAGTTTTTGTGATTTAAGTTGCAAGGATGTACAGTATGTTTGCACATTATGGCACCCTTACCTTGTAAAGTACCTGATCCAGCACTGTGACTCCATGATCTCGCTTGTTGATCCATCGTTGTTGCATCCATTTCTTTTCCATCTTCTGAAAACTTGTTTTCCACCACCTTGATTAGCTGGGCTTAGATGGTCTAAATTCCGTGCACGTGTATGGGATTTTATTCATCTCGGCACATCTGGCATCTGTAAGATGCAGGATTGTATATGGAGCTGTCCAGGCAGAGCTGCCAGTCTGCAATTCATAAAAGAAACTCTTAGCAGGCATGGAAAAGATTCTATGGCAGGAGAGGCATACACAGCCTCTTCCATTAGAAAAATGTATCAGGTGGTATGTTTTTTATATTTAGGATTTGTTCTATTTTTATGTCCTCATGCACACAGGACGTTTTTACAGCGGCTGTTTTTGACTTTTGACGTTTTTTTTCTATAGCATGTTATCCTATGTGTCCATGCACACACAGACTGTAATCAACATTTTTTGTCAGCGGTGTTTTTTGGGTGGGAAAAAACACCCAAAGCTAGTGGGTTTCTAGAGGAGTTTTTTAGCTGTAAAAACGCTCTAAACGCTGAAAATGCGGTAAATCACAGCACACCAGCATTTTTGGATTTTTTTTTTTTTTTACCATAACACACAAACACGACAAAAAACCGCTAAATGCTAATACAAAAACGCTGAAAAACTGACGTTTTTTAATGTGACTTTACATAGCTAATGTTATCGGCGTTATTAAAACACCCCTTGTGAATGGAGCCTGACACAAAACCAGTGTTGAATTTAGATTCACTATTGATTTAAATGTCTTGTTTTAGACTGCAGTTCATCATCTTTAGTTATTCTGTTTTTTTCTTCCAGACGAAGAGGATGAGCCAACTTCAGCAAAGAAGCGAAAGGTCTCCTAGCTGTAATTTGTACACGAGCTATCTGGATGTGATCAGATTGGAAAACCATTCTACTAGAGTCGCATGACTCACAAAGTGTAGATGTTTCACATGTCCGTAGTCACCAGTGCTTTAGCATACATGTGAAAGAGCAGGACTACTGTATAATGTGTATAATACACGCTTGTCTTGGTGAATGTATTGAGTTGTAAAGAGCCTTCTGTCTAGCAATACATCAATGGTTTTTATTTTCTTTTATTTCTCTCAAGCAGTGAAAATGCAGTTTGGTTCGGCCGCTCGTCTGCATTGTCTTAGAAACCTTTTATAAAGGAGTGTGTTTCAAACTAAGTTATTGAAATAATCCCCCACAGGGGCTGTTTTACAGGAAAAACTACTTTGTAAATAATTCACCAAAATAAAATCTACATTTGATAAAATGTGTGCCTTTGGCTTATTTAAATGTTTTCTTCGGCACTAAAGACAGATACTCAACTTACCAACGGTCCCTTGAGCGCCGGAATCTTCTCCTGTGTGCCAGTTTTCAGTCCTCTTCATTGGTCAGCGAGGGACTATGTCACTCCTGTGCATGCGCAGGACCTAGTCATCTCAGAACACAGGATCGGGCCAGCCGCTGAGACATTGCAAGTTTTGTCTGCAATAAATAGCCAGCCTGCCTGCCTGCCTGCTCACAGTTAACACAGAACTTTAGTTCAGCTTTAAGACAAACTCCATCCAGACATCGAAACACTTATTTAGTCACATATTAGCAGAGTAGAACCTACATTGAGAAGAAAGGGCCAGCGCTTCAAGGCAATCATGGCTTACCTGTCGTTTTGAGTCTCCATTATATGGTGCTTACTGACCGGTACTATTGAAGATTTTCCATCACGGAGCCATTATTCCATCCGGGAGACAATATCCATTGAAAATATTCATTATAACTACTCTTTATTACACTGCGCATACTGACCACTTTAAACGATCAAAGCATCCGGTAAGGGGCCATCTTTTTCCGGGTGTATGGTGTTGGTGTATATGGTCAAGACCAGTCTCCTACAGTTTTCGTTTTATAATGTTTTGAGAACTTAAGATTTTAATTTGGAATTTACAATTATTATTTTCTTTCATTAGCGCTGCATTCTCTTTAGTTTATAATCATGGCTCACAGACTGACTTTAGATGTATGTTGGAGCTTCTTCATTATCCAGTCATCAGGCTGGGGAAGGCTCCAACTAGGCTGTATGCAGGCTCTACAGTAGAGAAAATTTAGGTTGTAGAGCACAATATGCGGTCTTGCAGGGATAACTGTATCAAAGGAGTGCCTGAAAATAATTACAAAACTACAGAAAATATTTCACATCTATGTATTTCAAATTTGTATTTAGCCATTTAGTTGGATGAATTTTTATTTTTTTTTCCCCCCATGAAGACTGAACAGTAGCAACACTGTCTGCACTATTGAGCTTTTGCTGTCATGTATTTATTTAATATAAAATGAACTTCCAACAAAGGCACCTTTCACACGGGTGATCTGGTAAGGTCCGCCTGTCAGTTTTTCAGCTGGACCTGATTAGATGGTCCACGCATTGCTATGGACTGGTGGGTGTAAAGGGACTTGTGTATGTTTACACTCGCCTACCATTAATCCGATCTGGTCCGCTAAAAAGCTGAAGGGGATCCGTCCTCTTCCATCTAGGCTGATCGGATTGGAGGGCAGTCGGGCGTAAATTGACAGCGGAGTTCATTTACTCCCAGCCAACCATAGAGCAGATCGGGCTGAGTCCGTATCCACTCTGCATAAACTGAATGAACACGGACCTGTCATTCGCACGCTTTGCTCTCAGTGGACAGATCCACTGCTGATCTAAACAAAGCTGCCCCATGTAAAAGGGGCCTAAGAGAGTGAGACCCCTGTGTATCATCTGTGCCAGAAAACTCGGGTGCAGAGATCCCACCACAACAGATCTACCAAAGCGGATTTTAGTTTTTATTTTTTTCCTCCTTGCTGTTTTTCATATTTAGTATTTTTGATTTATTATTATACAGTATTTATATAGCACCAACAGTTTGCTCAGCGCTTTACAATATAATGGGAGACAATACAGCAACAATACAGTTAAATACAAGAGGGAAAGGAGGGCCTGATCCTGGGAGCTTACAATCTAGGAGGGAGGGCTAGTGGTACAAAAGGTAGTAACTGTGGGGGATGGACTGGTAGGAGGAATAGAAGATTCCGTTATTAGCTGAGGGCAGGATAGGCTTCCCTGAAGAGATAGGTTTTCAGAGATCGCCTAAAAGTGAGTAGAGTAGGCGATAGTCTGATAAATTGGGGTAGAGAGTTCCAGAGGATAGGGGAAGCTCTGGAGATGAGCATGGGAGGAGGAGACAAGGGAGCTAGAGAGTAGGAGGTCTTGCGAGGAGTGGAGAGTACGGTTTGGGTGATATTTGGAGACAAGATCGGTGATGTAATTTGGGAGTTATAAATGGCTTTATACGTTATTGTTAATGTTTTGAATTTTATCCATTGGGGCAATGGGAAGCCAGTGGAGGGATTGGCTGAGAGGGGTGGCAGATAACAGAACAGTTAGTAAGGTGGATAAGTCTGGTAGCAGCATTCATGATAGACTGAGGAGGGGATAGCCTGCGATTCGGTAGGCCAATGAGGAGGGAGTTACAATAGTCAAGGCGAGAGATAACCAGGGAGTGAATAAGTTGCTTACTGGTTTCCGGGGTTAGGAACGGGTGTATCTTGGAGATGTTGCGGAGGTGATTTATGTTCATTGATTCTCACTCCTGTCATACATTATCCTGTCCACATGAGCGTTTGGTATAGTAGATTCCAGTTTTGCTCTATGCTGGTCTTTGCCTCTTTATCATATTATCAAAAGGTCTTTGCGAGGTATTTGTTCCAAAAAGAAAATATGCAGATGCAAAGCGGTATGTAAAAATAGACCAATTAATTCATAACTTAGGAGAAAAAATAATGTGGACATTAATAAAATAAAAAAAAGTGTTTTTTTTTTCATTGGCAATGCTGGATTATATGCAAATGTACTGCAGGACCGTTCATTTTATTATCACTACCTGTCCGTTCATGCTCTGCCACTCCTGAACGCAGTCTTATGCGGTATGTTGCTATAGGATCTGGGATAGTTGTCTCTTCCTCGTTATCTCACCAACGCCCAAGGTTCCCCATCTAGTAACCATTTTTACCAGAAGAGCCTGGATAAGAAATTGGTATTAACTGCTTCCTGTCCGCCCTATAGCAGAAATACTGCTACGGGATAGCATGGGTGCGCAAAATCACGTGTATATACGTGATTTCGCATTACTGGGTAGGGGGCGCATTCGCGCCCTAACCATGTTGCCAGCCACGGCTTTCAATCACCGGATCTCAGCTGGTGATTGCCGAGCATTTCCAACGGGGAGGAGAACTGTTTGTAAACAAAACAGTTCTCCCTGTCAGCTCGTGTGCACTGCTTTGCAAAGCAGTGGCCTTACAGTGCAGCACATGAACACAGCTTATAGTAAAACAGCACACAGTTAACTCTTTAATCCCCCCTCATGTCCCCAGCCTTGTCCTCATCAACACTGACTTCTGTGTTAACAAGAGAATCACTGACATGATGTCAGCTTTTGTGGCAGGGCTGAAATGCTGTGGAAATGTTTTTTTGGGGGGAATTAAGGTCATTTTTATGGCAAAGAGGGACTTTGCTTTATTAATTGCAATTCATCTGATCACTCTTCATAACGTGCTGGAGTATGTGCAAATTGCCATCATAAAAACACTGAAGCAGCAGACTTTGTGAAAATTAATGTTTGTGTAATTCTCAAAGCTTTGGGCCAGGGCTGTACTAAAACATGCTGATACCATACTGCAGTATTGCCATCATAAAAATGGAGGCAGCAGGCTTTGTGAAAATTAATATTTGTGTCATTCTCAAAGCTTTTGGCCAGGGCTGTAGTTCCACTTTGTGAATAGACCTAGTCTGACAGGACTGCTGTATCATATTTCGTCACTAGATGGCAGCATTTTCTGTCTTTTGTATGATGGATGATGGCTGGAAGCTGACACCACCACAGCAGTATGTCTGCACAAAGTTCAACATGATTCCCAGTATGGGCTTCCTATGGGTAACGTCTTCTCCAGGAAAACACAGAAGCACAACCGGATCACATGCAGATGTAATTTTTCCTGCCTCAGGTCCACATGCTTGTTTTATTCTCCCAGAGTGCATACGTGAACAAAAAGCAGATTTAGCATTGGTTCACACTGTACTGTCGTGTGATTTCCACTGCAATTTTCATGCAACTTGAGTCACATTGATTGGAACAGCTGCCATTGAAATTACAGGCGTACCTCGGTTTACGAATTGAATGTGTTCTGCGGGACATTTCGTATTGCGAAAAATTTGTCAACCGAAACACAGTTTCCCATAGGAATGCACTGAAAACCAATTAATCTGTTCTGGAGGTCAGAAAAAAGTTTTAAAAAAAAAGTCTTTTATCTGTTCAAAACTTTTATAAAGTGCACTTTAAAGGCATAAATACTGTACAGGGACATGATTAAAAAAAAAAATTTGTAAATACATTGAAAATCAATTAATCCGTTTGTATTGCAAAAAAAATGTGTAAACCGAGGCATTATTTTCAATGATTTTCATTCGTAAACCGAAAATGATGTTAACTGAGGCGTTTGTAAACAGAGGTACGCCTGTATTAGTTGTCATGCGACTCTAAGTGTAGTAACTCGTATGCCAAGTCGCATCAGTGTGAACCGGGCCTTAAAGTATTTGAAGTTGGATATTACATATTTATGCAGAAGAAAATAGTTCTAGGTTGTGGACTGTTTGCAGTCTGCAGGAGGTATGGAATAACAAAGACTAAAGCCAGTTAGGCTGAAACGCGTCAGTGGCTGTATTGGACATGTACTGTACACTGTGGATCTAATAATATATTGAAGATTTTATGAGCAATGAACAGAGGTGAAGATCGTGTGTGTGTGGGGGGGGGGGGGTGGG